CCGTGGTAACTGATGCCAAGCAGCAAGTTCCAGGAACTTGAGATGTAAGCGGGGAGTCGGGTCAGAGGAGAAGCCAATCAAGCCTGCATGTTACCACATTAACGCGGTCACAGTGTCGAGGCTAAGAACTGTTTTACAACTTCTTTGGAACGAAGTACGACTTTCAACATCCACTAAATAGTTTCAGCAAGCAATTATCATGTCTTTAAGATAAATTTCTTGTTTATGTTCTTGACTTTGCCCGTTTGCTTATCATTTTGAATAAGAACATTTGAAATTATCATCTCCCTTATGTTTTCTTAGGCAAAACTCTACCAGACACTTGATGAGTATTTAGGTGAAACGCAGGAAATAGATAAGATTTGCTCTCACAAACAACCACAAACAACCTGCTAAGATAACACAGTCACATTTCAGCCCGGTAATTCTCCACTAAATACATCATGCAGTCTCTCCTCTATGCATGAAGTGCCACTCAAACCTAGTGGTTATGCATTTACATGGTTTCTGGGAGGGGAAACTCAACTCAAGTTTTTGGACCTTTCCCCTCATCACATTCTATGAATTTTCACACATTTCACACAGCTGGATCAAAGATATCCCACATGTTAGTCTCTAGCCCCTTTTACACTGCCAGATTTTCGGCGAATGTTGGGCCGTTTTGCTGGCAAGCTGAGAGCGTTTAGACACACAGAGCTGGATTGGCGAGCTGATCCAAGGTGCCCAATTTTCCGCCTCGTAGGGTAGACATATTGGCGGAACCTTTTTGGGTTAAAAAGAACGAGGCGCCCTTCCGCCACGGGAGGGGCTGTTGAAGACTTGTGGGAGGAGCTGCTGATGACGCTGCACGTGCGAGCCACTGGCGGTGGATAAACAGGAAACAGCTGATAGCAGGAATGAGCAGCTAGTAGCAAGAGGGAAACGCAAACCTGACAGACACTGTAAAGATGAGCAACTGGGGAGACAAGGAATTGCACGCCCTCCTTGCCCTCGCAAACGAAGAGGCCATTAACCGTCAGATGACGGGGACGGTGAAGGACGGACCAACTTATGAGGGTTCGCCGAAGGACTGACCAGCCGCGGCTTCCCTCCCACGTCACTGTTACATCACATGCTGAGCTACATGTTTTGTTACTTGCTCACGCCCCCCATTGCCCCGAAAAAGGCGCATTCTGTGTAAACAAAAGTAGGCAGGCGCCATTTTTCTGCACTCCCCGATTTTGTTTTTATACTGCCAATGCTGAAAGAAGACTGATTGAGCTTTCCTGCAAATTTGCACAATTCCTATTTAAAAGGAGCTTCTAATCCAGAGACATCTTCAGCATACTTAATGTTAGAGGGAAACAGGCTGCTTTAGGAGGAAATTATCTCAACAGTTCCTCGATTATGTACCTCCAGATTATGGAGTTCTCTCTTTGGAGCTGAAGCCTCTTCACATGAACCACCTGGCACTGGCTCTGTCTCACTGTACTCATTGTTAGTCAAGCTACTAGACATTCTGTGTTTACAAAAATCAGAGTAAAAGTGTTGATGAAGTGACTAAGCGAAAACAATGGCCACATTTAGATGGACTGCACCGATCCAACAGAAACACAGGGTTAATTTTTGAGCTACCCGTATTTACATTGACCTTCACCTGCAACAGATGCTCCAAACATACACACCCACACTATCCTCTATCTAAATGTTTCTGTCGTGCCTCGCAGTTTACCTGTTAGGTTCTCTTTATGCATTTTGCAAACATTTGGTTTCAAGCTGTTCAAGATTCATAAGACAGTGCAGCAGTTGCATTGCCCACAGCTTTGCAAAACACAGCAACAGCACTTCAGTCTTTAGTCATATTGTGATGTGAGCCAAATACATGAGTGAATATGAGTATTTTGTCCTCGTTGAGTTGGAATTTTGAGATGTGCTATGTTTTCACATTTATATTGGAGCACTTGAGTCTTATTTCCAGTAAGCTGTCAATGTACAATACCTTTTGATAATGCAATTAAAACTGTATCTGACGTCTAAATTCAACTGAGCTTACCTTGAACGTGACTTTCACTGGTATTAAAGTAATCATAGTGCTTTTACCAAGTAGAACTGCGATGATAAATTGATTGAATGTCAACTATTAAATTAATTGAGTAGTTCTTGTTAAGAAAAAAAAAGTTCATATTCTCTGATTTTTGCGTCTTAAATGCGAACATTTTCTGTTTTCTTTACTATTCTATGACAGAAAACTGGATATCTTTGGGTTGTGGACAAAATAATACATTTGAGGACGTCATCTTGGACTTTGGCAAACTGTTACCTATGTTTTACACCATTTTCTTACATTTATAGACCAAACAACGTATCGGTTAATCCACAAACTACTGGACATGTTAATAGACAATAAAAATAGTCATTAGTTGCAGCCTTATTCTTTTGCTTGACATCATTTCTTGTGAAAATGTTTATTAGTACTTTGAGATCTTCAAAAAAAATAGTGTTGTCCATGTCTGACCACCAGTAATGAGCAGCATTGAATATGTTTACACGCACACTTATTTGATACGGGTCATGTAACGGGCATATTTCATTTGGATATTTAAAATTAGGCCTTTTCAGGCCTAATCACATTCAGAATCAGCACATTCAGAATATGCATCTCAGCTGATGTTGTTCTGATGCCTCTTATCTGTTTACGGTCAGCTCTGTGCGTTGTACACAAACCAACCAGCGAATAGTTTGCTCTTGGGTGGAGATGCATGCAAAAAAGAGAAGCTAACATTTCCTGTCAGAAGAAGAAAGACACCTACTTTCAAACAATATGAAAGACTTTGATATTAACAGGTTTTTGGATATTCGCAAATATCCCAATGCTGACCTTTTCAAGAAGGTGGCTGAAGGAATGAAAGAGTGAGACTTTGTAAAAATCATATTTTGCTGCAAAGAAGCAAAATGGCACAAGCAGTCCAGTTGTTCCACTTTTCTATATTGTTAAACGACGTGTTAGGGCACGTTGATCAGCTGCATGTAAATGGGAATATTGTGCAAAATGTTGTGCATGTAAACGTCGTCACTGAGGGCCTCCTGAATTTTCACAAACCTCAAACTCAACACTTTGAAACTGAGTGTTCTCATCACTACTTTACAGTAAATCTCTCTGCCAAGCTTTGAGCCAGTGTACATTGTTTTCAACTCTCTGTGCAGCCGGACTCTGTGTGTGTGTGTGTGTGTGTGTGTGTGTGTGTGTGTGTAGGCACTGCAGCTTGTTGCCAAACCCTCCCACCAGCCAAGTCTACTAAGATGAGCCGCAGAGCCATTTCTTGGCCAAATGTCACACAGCGCTGTGCACCACTACAGCATCTCAAAAGTCAATCTACAGCGGCCGATCTGAGATAAGTCACGGTGGAAAGATGTGAAATAAAAGCATTTAGTAAGTTACGATGCATTCATCATACTGGTATGAACATGGAGCTGATGCTGCCGACAAACTTCAGTCACATTTTACCTTCATTACTACGACATGCTACTACAGAGACAGAGAGGCAATCGCTCATTCCTTGCTGCGCTGAGATATAGACACAGCAAGTGTCTCTACTGTCTGTGACCTTGATACGAGATGCCTGAGAGAGGAAAAATACATCCCTGCAGGGGATGGCGTCAGTGTCTGTACGTCCTCCTGAGAGAGGGAGTGTGCACATGTGCGTGTGTGTGTGTGTGTGTGTGTGTTTTAAAAGAGGAAAGGCAGCAAAGCAAGAACAGAGAAGTAAATCAGGGAAGTGTTTTTGATATCGCCCATCGCAAAACGCAGCCACAGTTACATTTGATTCCTGAAAAAAGCCTCAACGTGGTGTTGTCAGCTGAGTCAGAGACACAGCTTTAAATTAACAGCACCATTTCCTCACTCTGTAGGAAATAAACCTTTCTCTTTTTGTGATCCTACCAAGGATGTCTACAGGCAGAACATAGTGAGTGATAAAGATGTCAGCTTAATTGAGTATTCCTCCTGAACCTTAGAGAAAATACAACCAGCCAAACGCCAGCTTGAAGTGTAAAACTAATATGACTTCAACTCAGATACTCTGAACACGAGGGAGTCTGGCAGACAGATACTGTCTCCGAATAAAACGCCTGATGCACATAGCAACCACAGCCGAGTCATGTCAGGTTCATTGCACGAGGCTGAACTCCGTCCTGACACTCTGGATTAAATAAAACCCATAAAACAAAAACCACGTATTGGTTATTCTTTCAGTTACCAACACAAACAACAAAACCTCAGGTAGGATAAATCAACACATCCCCAATCCTCAAGATGGAAACTTCTTTTATCACTTGGCCAATTCCACACAGAGGTCAAAGGTCAAGCCACTGAACTCACTTTGACACTTAAGACTTTTGCAGCCACTTTCATGTGTCATCACTCCGTGTCTGAACTGCCTGCACCTCTGACAGTCTCATAAACAACCAAATACTATGAGTTACACCCACATAAATTACACGGTTACTGTATGGTGTCGATAATTCTGCCCCTCCTGTATTTTCCAGGTGAGAAAGATAGCAACACCTGACACAAATCCCTGCCTCCTGTCCTCACTAACTCAAGTACAAGTATTTCAGTATAATTTTGTGGCTTCACTTGTTATACTTCCTCTCAAGTACATTCTGGAGGCAAATATGTACTTCTTACTAGATTTAATTGCCTTTAGTTACTTTGCAGATTTGGATTAGTAAAACAAAATATAAATCAGTGAATAAATGATGATGTTTGGTTTTAAGTTAAGCTTCTTTGCAGCTGGTAAGAGTGGCTAATTCTATGTAGTGATGTACACATTAATACATCTCTAATATTTTGATGCGTATACTTTGTACTGTTACTTAAGTAAGATTTTGACTGCAGGAGTATTTCCATGCTGCAGTGCTGCTACTTTTACTAAAGTAAAAGATGCGACTATCTCCCACAGCACTGCCTCAATGATCACTCTCTTAGATGTGTCTCTAACTTATAAATAATTTCCACAAACCTTTCTTAAACTCCTCCAGCATGGAGTCCAGCTTGGTGTCGTGGAAGACAAAGTGCACCGGATGGTTGTAGAACTTGGTGATGGTCTTGAGTGTGGTGCAGTCGTCCGGGTCAACGAAGGCCAGGTCCTTGACAAACAGGATGTCCACGATGTTGGACCGCTCGTGCTCGTACACAGGTATCCTCGTGTATCCGCTCTCCATGATCTCCGACATGGTGTTGAAGTCCAACACGGCGTCGCTGTGGATCATGAAGCAGTTGCTGATGGGCGTCATGACATCCTCCACCGTTTTCGTCCTGAGCTCCAGCGCGCCCTGGATCATGTTGAGCTCCTCTTTCACCAGGTCGTTGTACGGCTCGGTGACTTTCAGCATCTCCACCAGCTTCTCCCGGTTGTACACGGTGCCGATCTCCTGGCCCAGGACGCAGTCCAGGATCTTGCTGATGGGCCACGACAGAGGGAAAGTTAGCAGCATGAACAGCTTGGTGACATAGATGGTGTTCGCCCCGACTGCCAGACCGTGCCGGGAGCACAGCGCCTGCGGGACGATCTCGCCAAAAATAACGATGCCAACTGTGGACGCGACCACAGCGCCGACCCCGGACTTGGTGAGGTCGTCCAGGAGGATGGTGAGAGTGGTGTTGACCAGGACGTTCCCGAGGAGCAGCGAGCACAGCAAGTAGTTACCCTTCCTGCGGATGGGCTCGATCTTCCGTGCGTATTTCTTCTCCTTCTCGGTGCCGCAGCTCTGCACGATGCGCAGCTCCATCGGGTCCAGCGCCATCAGCCCCAGGTTGAGCCCGCTGAACATGCCGGACAGCACGAGCAGGAAGGAGATGAGGATCACCTGCAGCCAGATGGGCAGCAACGACTTCGCCACCTCCACCACCCGCACTCTGCCGTCCTGGTCATCCAGCAGGTACCACGTCTCCTCCTTCTCCAGGGGGTCACGGACGCACAAGCCGAACACCTTCACCACCTCGCTCTTGCGGAGCTGCTTGATCCGGAGGCTGACCACCCCGGAGGTGTTTTGGTTGGTAACAACCATGGACCCCTTTACTTCTATATCCTTGGTGAGTTCGGGACAAGTCCTATTGAAGGGGGACATAACCGTGCCGAAATCATCATCCTCTTTATCGCTGGAGTAAATTTCTATGAACTTGATGAGTCGCGAAGTGTTCGGGCGCAAGTCGAGCCCGTAGAACCTGAATTGGATGTCGCTGCCCTCGGTCACCTGAATAACCCCTCTCTCGGTGGTCCCAGCCGGAGTCGTGCTCGTCTCCAGCCTCATGCCGAGTATCCGGGGGGTGACTCTCGGCTCCGCCAGCACTTCCTCGGCCTGCCTGCCCGCAAAAACACAAGAAAAGACGAATAAAGTTAGCGTAAACCCCCGTCCACTCGAGTCTATCGCCATGTTTGTTTCGCTCTATGCGAAGGGGGAACTGACGTCACCTACTCGTTTCCACGAGCCCACCCCGCTTATTTGCATACCCGCATACCTCGAAGATTCAACCAATCAGCGGGAGCGACGTCACTCAACCGAGCCCCCTCAGTGTGCATATTTAAGGTCGACTGATATTTTTTTTCTTTTAAGGTGGACTGTGGAGTCTTTTAATAACTTTACCAATTTTACTAATATATATTTATTTATACAGTACAGGCCAAAAGTTTGGACACACCTTTTCATTCAATGCGTTTTCTTTATTTTCATGACTATTTACATTGTAGATTCTCACTGAAGGCATCAAAACTATGAATGAACACATGTGGAGTTATGTACTTAACAAAAAAAGGTGAAATAACTGAAAACATGTTTTATATTCTAGTTTCTTCAAAATAGCCACCCTTTGCTCTGATTACTGCTTTGCACACTCTTGGCATTCTCTCCATGAGCTTCAAGAGGTAGTCACCTGAAATGGTTTCCACTTCACAGGTGTGCCTTATCAGGGTTAATTAGTGGAATTTCTTGCTTTATCAATGGGGTTGGGACCATCAGTTGTGTTGTGCAGAAGTCAGGTTAATACACAGCCGACAGCCCTATTGGACAACTGTTAAAATTCATATTATGGCAAGAACCAATCAGCTAACTAAAGAAAAACGAGTGGCCATCATTACTTTAAGAAATGAAGGTCAGTCAGTCCGGAAAATTGCAAAAACTTTAAATGTGTCCCCAAGTGGAGTCGCAAAAACCATCAAGCGCTACAACGAAACTGGCACACATGAGGACCGACCCAGGAAAGGAAGACCAAGAGTCACCTCTGCTTCTGAGGATAAGTTCATCCGAGTCACCAGCCTCAGAAATCGCAAGTTAACAGCAGCTCAGATCAGAGACCAGATGAATGCCACACAGAGTTCTAGCAGCAGACCCATCTCTAGAACAACTGTTAAGAGGAGACTGCGCGAATCAGTCCTTCATGGTCAAATAGCTGCTAGGAAACCACTGCTAATGAGAGGCAACAAGCAGAAGAGATTTGTTTGGGCCAAGAAACACAAGGAATGGACATTAGACCAGTGGAAATCTGTGCTTTGGTCTGATGAGTCCAAATTTGAGATCTTTGGTTCCAACCGCCGTGTCTTTGTGAGACGCAGAAAAGGTGAACGGATGGATTCCACATGCCTGGTTCCCACTGTGAAGCATGGAGGAGGAGGTGTGATGGTGTGGGGGTGTTTTGCTGGTGACACTGTTGGGGATTTATTCAAAATTGAAGGCACACTGAACCAGCATGGCTACCACAGCATCCTGCAGCGACATGCCATCCCATCCTGTTTGCATTTAGTTGGACGATCATTTATTGTTCAACAGGACAATGACCCCAAACACACCTCCAGGCTGTGTAAGGGCTATTTGACCAAGAAGGAGAGTGATGGAGTGCTGCGGCAGATGACCTGGCCTCCACAGTCACCGGACCTGAACCCAATCGAGATGGTTTGGGGTGAGCTGGACCGCAGAGTGAAGGCAAAGGGGCCAACAAGTGCTAAACACCTCTGGGAACTCCTTCAAGACTGTTGGAAAACCATTTCAGGTGACTACCTCTTGAAGCTCATTGAGAGAATGCCAAGAGTGTGCAAAGCAGTAATCAGAGCAAAGGGTGGCTATTTTGAAGAAACTAGAATATAAAACATGTTTTCAGTTATTTCACCTTTTTTTGTTAAGTACATAACTCCACATGTGTTCATTCATAGTTTTGATGCCTTCAGTGAGAATCTACAATGTAAATAGTCATGAAAATAAAGAAAACGCATTGAATGAGAAGGTGTGTCCAAACTTTTGGCCTGTACTGTATGTATTTACGAATTTGGCTTAAATGCCCATTTTCTGCCTGATATATATCTATATATTTTTTAAAATAATGTTTTTTTTAAATAATCCGTTTTGGAGCACTGACAAAGCAATGATTTTATTAAATAACTTTACTCATAAAAGCTGAACGATATGAAAGCAGATCAACACTTAATATATACTTGTTTTGTTTATTAGCAACGAGACATAGTAGCATTTAAAGTGCAATTACCTTTATTCCAATTAATATCCAGGCCTGTTTTGTAGTTATAGATGGATTACTGACCGAGCCTACCTGGCACAAAGTGTTAGCCCTGGCCTTCTTCTGCAAAATGTCACTCAAATTAAAAAAAGACTTCTGCTTCACCTTGCTTGGTTTTGATCCAGGAAACACTGAGCAAACCTGTCCCAGATGACAAACTTGGTAACAGCCTACCAGGCACAAAGTCTTAGGGCATCCCTGGCCTTCTTCTGCAAAATGTTACTCAAATTAACACATACTGACCAGGAAGAGACTCAATATAACCACAAAGAGACACAAAACAACCACACAGAGATGCAAAATGACTTCTGCTTCACCTTGCTTGGTTTTGATCCAGGAATCACTGAGCAAACCTGTCCCAGATGACAAACGAAACGTAATTAAAGACCACACAACATTAATAATAACAATAAAAGACCCCATGTCCCGATTACCATCTCAAATTTACAGTTTACTCCGCTAGTGTATGGCCTTTATAATGAAGGATGTTTTGTGGTTAAGGCTTGGTAACAGCTTACCTGGCACAAAGTGTCAGGGGGAACCCTGGCCTTCTTCTGCAAAAGGTCACTCAAATTAACACACGCTGACCAGGAGGAGATACAAAAAGACCAAAAAGAGATGCAAAGGAGCTGCAAAGAGGCACATAATAACTACAAAAGGGTGAAAACAACCGAGAAGAGATGCAAAATATCAAAAAATGACACAAAATGATGCATAATGAGTTCAAAGAAATTCAAAACAAAAGTCAAAAATAAAGAAAAAAACCCTACAAAATCTGTGTGTCTTGCTCCTTTGTAGGAGAGCTGGTGAGGCATGTTGCATATCTGTGCCCAGGAGCCCACTGTCTCCTAATCTGCCCAGGATTGTAGGACTTAATGAGATTAAAAACAATGTTAAACTTTTGTTTTTATAGTGTTCCTCAAACAACAGTCAAATCGTAAATAAAATCGTTTTCTCTGGGACATAATATGAAATAAGTTCACATTCAGCAACATTAAATCAGTTACTGTAACTATTTGGTGTGATGTTCAAATGAATTAAATTAAAATTAAGTAAAATGTAATGTTGTCAACTGTTTCTCTTCTGATATATGAGGTTAGGACACAACTGAGGAGGACCTGAGATACATACAATGTAACATTTTGAGCACAGATGATGACAGGCCGTTTATTTATATATCACCAACAGGACATAAGGCGATTTAAAGTGCTTTACAGAGGCATAGAAACACATTAAATGTAAGACATTAAGAAAACATTAAAACTGCATTTTAAATACAATATAACAAGATGTGAGAACCAGTAAATACATGATTAAAAATGAGGGAAAATGAATTAAAAGAAAATAAAGGCAAGAAGCAAAAGAAAGCAAAGAGCCACAGATTAAAAACTAGTTATTGGCAGCAGTGAACAATAATGTTTTAAGCCCTGGTTTGAATGAGTTTAGCAGATGTCAGGTGTTCAGGGAGCTTGTTTCACAGGTGGAGAGCCTAGCAACTAAAATCTGCTTCACTTTGTTTCATGTATGTGTGTATTAGATAGAAAGCACATAAAGTTTGTCCCACAGTACCAATGACTGTATCAGCCTGTCTCTATGACCTGTGAGTTGTCTTTCACTGAACACTGACCCCACCTGCTTCAATCATGAGCTGAATCTGAGCTTTGGACAAAAGTATGTAGGTGATAAAAGTAGAAATATTGTGCAGGAGGAGTCTTGACTTGTTTGAGGAGTGCAGAAGAAATGACTTTAAATCAAATTTTTCTTGTGAAACGTCAGTGTATGTAAATGTCTTTACTGAGTACAGAGCGCCATCTTGTGGTCAAATTCCCCACAGTGCAGCCTGAAACCTGTGAATCTGATGGTATCCAAACAGAAATCAGCTCCACTTCCCTCACAGTATTAATGAGGCTTAAAATTGTGCTTTAAATGGTCCACGAAGAGCCATTATGCCAGCTTTGGTGTAGTTTATTACAAGAAAAAGCAGATTTGTGTGATCGAGAAGAAAAAATGTTTTCTTCATTTCAACTTTGAAGATGAAATCTTTACATGGAGTTACTCATATGTGGACGGTATGTTCCCAGTGATTATTACTCATGTGTGCAATCAACTACAAATGAAAGCAAATAACCTTTTGCCACTTGATGACATTTTGACCCAAACAGGGATTTCTTTAACACTGTCCTATAGATTAATCTGTGTAGAAATGTGGTCCTAGGAACAGTGAAGTGGCTAAAAGCTGCATTTTTTTATGTGTTTTCTGATGCTGAATCAAAAGCCCAACGTTTCAACATATATCTTCAGCAGGGGCTGAACAAGAATGCTGGTTGCAAACACTTTCTATACATTCCCAAACATAACAAGACATCCTGTGGGATAATCACACCACTGGCTATCAAGTCATCATCTGTGTCACCTGCATTGCCACCTGTGTCTGCTGTGGTTAAATTAAAACAAAATTAAACTACATAAACCCCTGCCAAAAGCACAAACCAAAAATTCATCCCGTAAAGGAACAGTGTGTACGTCTGAGGTGACTTTAGTGGCATCTAGTGGCGAGGATTGCACATTGCAACCAGCTGAACTTTTCCTGGTTAGAATTCCATCAGTGTTCGTTGTTCAGGAGGTTTATACCAGTAGCTGAATTGTTCCCAGTGGTCTCCTCTCCTCCAAAACAAACACACATGTGTATTTAAACCAGTAAAAACACAGAATAAAGCCGTTTCAGGGGGAAAAAAGCACCTGCTAATGTGTGCTCCCCTGTTTTCTCTGATATTTTACTATCCAGGCATTCAGGAGGTTTTTACTGGGAGCCGAATTATCCGCAGAGGTCTCCTCCTCTCAATGAACTTGGTGATTTGGTGATGGGTAAAAATACCT